GGGCCCGGGAGCCGGGCTGGGGTCCGCCCTCCTCACGTACCCTCCAGCTTGCTCGGGGGTCTGTCCTGCACGCTGGGGGTGCCCGGCGAGGGGCAGGCACCGCTGCCAGCCCGGCCTCCCTGCCCCGGGGAATTTAGTCCCACAGCCAGAGGGAAGGTGAACCCATCTCTGCCGGCCTGTTTGGCATGAGCTGGGAGCACGCCCCGCCGCAGGACACGCCGCGCTGAGCCCTGAGCTGCCCGGGTGCCCACCTCCACGCCGGATCAGGGCTCTGGCTCCCGCTGGCGCTTGCACCCACCTCTCAGGGATAAATCAGAGCACCTTTGCACGCTCTGGGGAGCAGAGGTGGCATTTTTTGGCAGGCTGGCTGTTCAGCAATTAGGCTGTAGAACGCTGCTTACTCTGAGAGCGCTGAATAACAGACAGAAGTAAAAAAAATAATATATATTTATATACATACACACACACGCACAGAGAGTAAAAGAATAAACAAAACAGAAAAAAAATACACTGTGGTTTTCATTCGACAAAACCTCAGCTGACCTTAGGCAGGGGAAAGCCAGCCTTTAAATGCGAGCACGGATGTAAACACCACGCATTTGTTTTAATTCTGTTTTCCCTTCACGTCTTCTGTAAGTGGCAGCCGCTTCACTGACACGCGCCGCTCTACGCCGGCCGGATTTCACTCGACTTCCAGCTGGGAAAACGGCACTGTGGCCGTCCTCGCCTCCAGCCTGGCCTAAGCCACGGTGATCAAACCAAACAGACCAAAGCCCCGAATCAACACGAGCAGCTCTCCTCTGTATTAGGAGGGCAGTGTCATCACAGAAGCATCGCTCTCTTCTCAGGGAGGAAAAATGTCAAGCGGCCTTATCTGCTCTCACGAAAGCCACGGCAACCTTTCTGCCCTGGGAAATAAAGGGAACGGCTCTGGACAGAAATTAAAACTCTTATTGCGTTGCCATTTGGAGGATCAATAAGGAAAGGGCAAAGGCTTTTGAATGCTATTTGGGGAAAAATCAGTATTTGTTAGAGTTCTTTCCAAAGAGGTTTTTGTCCCTTTATGTCTGTTAGCGATCTCCCGATTAGGGAGTCTGGACGCAGCTAAACTCCTCAGCTGCTGGGAGAGGGCCAGAGATGGGGGGACGGTTCCTCACCAGCCCTGAGAGCTGCCCGAAGCAAACACAGGGCAGAAGAAACCCAGCAAGAACGCCCAAAGGAAAAATTAAATACGAGGAAGAGAAGAAAACCTTGCAAAGTTTTGCTTTTCTCACTGAAAAGGTCCTATTTGAAAACTCTTCCTCCACAAAATCCCTGGCTTAGAAAGATCAACGAGGAAATAACCCAGAAAACCAAATGAAGACAAAGCAAGCACTCCTCCTGTCCCATACTGGTATTTTCCACTGACCCCAGTCAGCACCATGTGCAGTGCAACCTGCTTTTGCCTCTCTGTTGTCCAAGCTCTTCCCACAGCCGCGGGGCATCGGTGGGACCCCACACACCCCACTGCTCCCTCCAGGAGCACGTAACCACGAGCAGGTTGGAAAAGCCCTCCTACCACCTCGCCTCCGGGTCCTCCGCTTCCCCGGGGCTCGACGCTGGGTTGAGACCCATCGGCAGGGTGGGAGCGAGGAGCTGCGCCAGGGCAGACCTTTGGTTGGCTTCATCATCCACGGAAGGATGGAGAGGGTGGGTGAGGACGACAGAGGACAACCCAGCAGTCTCTCTCAGGAGTTAACGCAAAGTCCAACGAAGTGTAGCAGCTTCTCCACAGCCTCAACAAGGTTGGGAGGACGGAGATGGGGAGGGGATGGATGGAGACTAGTGAGGTGAAACACAATCATCCACTAGACACCGACCCCCGAGGAAATCTGGGACAACGGGAAAGGAAGGTGGAGAGAGAAGGGAACGGTTTGTTATTACACACAGAAACGCTGGGAAAGCCTGCAATAGCTTCACTACCTCAGACTAAGAATGTTTCAGTCTAGAAGCGCTCTTTAGGTCCCCAGGGTCCTTCCATTCACAACATTAAGCTACTCCTCTGTGCCCCTGCAGTGAAACTTTTAAACCCCTTGCTCACCCCCTCCGCTTGCTGTGCAGAGCACCCTGTCTGGAGTCACACAGCGAATGAGCTCCCTTAGAGACTTGCTTCTCCCTTCCCCTGGTGACTGTTCTCACCGCAGGGCGATGTGGGTTCGCTTTGCCACTGGAGCATGCCCCCAGCGACAGCCAGCTCTGAGACCCACAGGTGAGGATGCTGGTGTGGGTCCTGCCCAGGGCAGAGATGATCTCCCCAGCAATACGAACCACTCCGGGTGCCCCTGCGAACCCCTGCTTCACCCCAGCGTTTCACAAGCGCCAACCGGGAGGAGAGCGGTGGCTCGGTCCCGCTCCCGCGCTCCCCTCTGCCCACTCACCGCCGCGGGGACGGGTGCTATACAGCTGTGCACACAGTGCTGACTGTGAACTCCGTCTCGTTGGCCATGATGTCCGTGGGCTGCAGGTTTCGGTCATACATCGGATTTTCAAACGTTGCTCGGACGTTGGTGTTTTCATGGCCTGCGTAGCCATTGAATGGGACTTTTGGTCTTCTCCTGCAGGATGTCAGAGAGAAAATCCAGTAAGCTCATGGCCACAAAAAAAAACTGCCCGGACAAGAGGTCAGCTGGAAGGAGAACGCTGCTTTTGAAGACGGCAGACACCTGGGGCTCAGGCAGAAGGGATCTACAGAAAAACCTCCCTGTAGGTTTGTGGCACAGGCAGCTCCCTGGGCTTTGCTGCAGCCCTCCGCGTGCTCCCTCCCGAGCGGCCAGCCTGCACGGCGCTTCGCAGCGCAGCGACGTCTCCACAACGATGCATCCATCAGAAGTAACTAATTTATAACCTATGCAAAGCCAGCTTGAACGCTGAGGTACGAAATTTACTCTGCCTTATCCTACTCAATGTTGCCACAAATCTTATTAACGGTCATAAAAGCCCCCCCTACTCTTTTCCTAACGCCCTCACCCCTCCACACAGGCTTGCTCCATTATTTTTTCACTTTCTGAATTAAATGAGAAACCAGGTCTAGGGGGAGTGCTTTTAAGTCAAGCTCACAAATTTTTCTGTCAGCCCCCTGATTTTGTTTCACCTACTGGCACCGCTCCCGAAACCCACCTGTGTTTGTAGAGATAAAGCACAAACCCTGCAATAATCAGGGCTATGAAAGGCACAAGAATGGCAGGTGCCACAGAACTGCTGTTGGATGCAAAATGGTGTCCTATTGATTCGGGATCATTTTCCATCATGCTGATGTCTGAAACACAGCAGAAGTAAACACATTTCAAAACCCTGCCGGGGGAAATGGGGTCTGCTTGAGTTACAGTTCCATCTTCCATAACAGAACAAGATGGTTACAAGTGCTGCTGTAAAATGTAATGAAAAGCTTCTAAGCCGCATGAAGAATGGTCTGGAGATCCAGCCTAGCTTAGACATCATCACTCATTTAGAAGTGCAATTAAAGAGAGATGTAAATAGATTTATCTTACCAAAATGCTCAAACTTGGATGGTTAAAGTTAGGCTTTATGGGAGACTTTCAAAGGCTGCAATAATGAGCATCATAAAGGTGACAAGACTCCAGGGTCAGATTCCAAAAATCCTAAGAGACTGAAGAGCTCAAACCACATTTTAAGAGATATTTAGGAGCTCAGACCTTGAGTCATCTGAGCTCTCAAGTGCCTCTGTGATTTCTGAAAGCGGGATGGAGACACTTCTGTGGTAGCAACGGGACTTGGGCTTTTAGGTCAGACATCTGGCAACACGGAGAAAAGCGTCCAGGTGCTGTTCGTGGCTCTGAACTCTTTCTGCCTTTGAACAGAAACCTGCTTATTTAAATGCCTCACTCCGTTCTCAAACCAAAGATTTTGTTCTAGCGTTGCTCATCTCCCACAGATCGCATGTTAAGGATGGGTGTAGCCCCGCTTGCCAGAATATCCAGTGCTTAAACACAGGCCAGGGCAGCGCAGCCGCCTCCACCGCGCAGCGAGGAACAGGAGATGGGAACGGAGCAAGGTGCAGGGTGGAAGAGCTGCTGGGCCATGGGGAGCCCCCGTGCAGCCTCAAACGTTGAGGAACAGAAGCTGCTTCAGACGCCCCCACCTCCCACCCCCCTGGGAACAGAGATTTGAGGGCATCCGACTTCTCTACCCCAGGGGCTAGTGGGGGTTTTGCGAGCACTCTTCCAAGCGATGTGCAGAGAGGAGCTGGGAAGGGTTAGGTTAAACCTGATGGTTCAAAGCCATCTATAAAGCTGTGGTCTGGCAGGGTTGGAAACTGAAGCCAGGGACAGAAGAAATGTTTCCTGCTTGAAAGTCTGCACTACCACCAAAATCTAGCTTCCATCAATCAAGGGAAAAAGCAGTAATCAGAGGAAGTTTACCAAGTCTCTGAAGGCCAAACTGCCCGAAGCCTTTGCCACGCACAAAGCCCTGGTACACAAACGTGCCGCTTGACGACTCTGACGAGACCTGCAGCGACAGGAGAGCAGAGATCAACAGAGGTGTTCAACCCCTCCCTGGGAGTTCAGCACCCACCTCATCACAGCCTCTTTCAAGTTCATACATAGCATTAATTGATTCAATTCCCCAGAAAATCGTGGCATTTTTTAGGAAGTCTGACTGCCCAACAACTTGTTAAGACTCTCGCATCTCAAAGGAGGGGGGAAAAAAAAAATATCTTGTTTGCACTGAACTGCAGATGCTGTTGCTGATTCATCAGGGATGGGGAAGGCTCTGAGCTACAGCTGGCCACAGGTCAATCAGATGCATGTTTCTTCTGAGCTCCAGTGGGTCTCTTGAGGGCATGGGAAGCTACCAGACACAGGAACTGGGGTGAGAAGTTGACTCCATGAGGGAGAATTAGCTCCTCCAGCTTGATGTTTAGCAGATATCAAATGTTAAAATGGAATTAATCATGTTGGTTTCTCCCTTAGTGTTATCTGGAAGACTTGCAGACTTAAAACCGCAGGGCAATAAAAAAATCAACACACAGCTGCAAGGGAGCATGGAAGAGCTGACTGTCACGTAATGGTATCTTGCTTGCTGGAGGAATGCCCTATGTCCCTTCAAGCAAGCAGGTCACTGGAGGACAGCAGTCTCATCTTGCCACCAGCTAAGGGAGTTATTCCCTCAGCTTCAGCGAGAGAAAAGCCAGGGTTGTGAGAGCAATGGGAGGAGTTGTGTGGGTGGACTTTGTGTATGAGGTGCCCGTGCACTTACATGTCCATCTAGAGCCCATTTATCATTTTTGAACTTGTTGACAAAGATCTCCACTGGCCCGGTTATCTGGTAAACCTGGAGCAGTAGGTGCACATCATCTTTCTTGTAAATACCTGAAAAATAAGTGGCTTTTAATCCCTAGGTCATAACAACTCTCTCTGAGCTTGAAGTAATGAACTTTCTACCTGAGAGAGTAATCACCTCATCATCGCAGAGCGGACAACTCCTCCTCCCAACCCTCTCAGGGGGTTGCGCCAGGGGACACACCACAAGCACACAATCCCACGTCCACCCCCAGGATACTGAAGACATTTTGCACATGGGAAGAGACTGGACTGGTCCTGTTCAGGTTATGTCACTGGACCAGTAGTAACAACATGGTGCCCCACAGAGGGCAGGGCCAAGATGCACTCATGTCACTTGATCTTGTTTGACTACAAGTCCACCACTCCAGCACACAGGGAATGGCCGACGGACTGGGCTGAGCTGCCTTTCAGGTAGAGTCAAAGCAAACTCAGGTACATGATTTTGTTTGTCTTGGTCCAACCAAAGATTGGAGACTTCAGAGCTGGGTGGTTCTGTAAAGCTCTCAGAGCATCAACATCACTCCTACAGCAGAGCACAGTGCTCCTTGCTCTGAGACCACTCGTGAGCGGTGTAAACCCCCACCAACGGCCACGTCAGCTCCCTTACCGGACACCTGGAGCTCCACGCCGCTGTGGTCTATCAGAGTGGCGTTGACTTTACTGGTGGCAGGGTCGAAGCTAGTGACAGACAGCATCGCAGGCTGCTTTTTCCCCATGTACTCGTAGGAGCCCTTCCACAGGGAATTCCTCGCGAACACATCAGCAGGCACTAGAAACCACAGCAATTGGGGATGCAGAAAAACAAGCGCGTTGGTGTTTATTTCCGTTTTTCAGAAGTCAAAATAGAGCAAATTTCTTTCTTTCTCTGAATTCACAAATATGTATTTAAATATCTCAAACCCCACCCACTCTCTGCCTTATCATCACGGAGTACAAAGCCAAAGAGAGGAGAACAAACAGGCTGATGACTTCAATTTTACTGTTTTGACAAAAAATGCCACTGAAGTCTTAAAAACCAACCCACCCCCAAACTAATTTCTTAGGAAGAGCTAACAAAACCCATTTTTCTTAAAAAAGCTCTAATGTAAAACACCCTCGAGGGCTCGACTCTCCGGAGTGCCCTGGGGAGGGCAGCGGATGTTGGTGCCCGACTCCCTCAAGGCTCCTGCTCGTTCTGCAGCGAAGCACGGACGAGCAGGACGGCGCGCGCGGGCTGCTCTCCCCAGCCCAGCAGCGTGAAGGCTGCGAGGAACAGCCGGGTTTCCGCCTGCCCTGGGCAGGGGCTGGGGCTGGTAAGGCCCGGGTCCACCGCCAACATGTCCCACGGGCGAGTGACCCCCACTCCGGTACCTGAGACCTTGGCGAGCGGCGGGTCCCGCGCAGTGCCGACCGGCCTCCCGCTGGGACGGACATCAGCTGAAAGAGAGGGGCACACCGCAGCCGGTCAATATTGCGGCTCTGAGACTGCCGAGACGCCTCTACCGTGCTGCTGCTGGCAGAGGACGGCTTTCGGCCGGCGTTGCTCACACACCTAACGTGGCTGCACGTCCCTGTGTACCGGGGCTATGGATGGGCTCCTGCCCAGCCCACCTGAAACCGTAGGAAGCTTTCATTCGCTGACCTCCCCTGCCACCTGCCCCAAACCTCATCCAGAGCGAGCTCCCGTGCTCCACGGAGCCACGCAGCTCTATTTCAAGATCAGACCGCTACGTGTTCCTGATCTAAGACTCTGAGGTAGGTACAAGGGGCGTGAGGTAAAGACCAGTCGTGCAGATGCTTCTAGATCCAAACCATCAGGCAGAAAATCCTGTGGCTGCCTCTCCCCGCCCCT